TGATCGGATAGTCTTATAAATCCGATTAAAATCAATCGGAAATATCCGTTTTTTACTTTTTGAACGGACATTTTTCTCAGTGTAAGAATGATACATTTAAAATTGTGTCATTTTTGTTTAGTTATTAACGAAGTTACTAATAATAAATAATATCTAGCGCGGCTCGAACAGTCAATTAATTCATCACTATTAGTATTGGTGATATTTCAAGTTATGTCACTTTCGAGAATTTTATTCTGGATTTATTAATTTTGTGGAATATCAAAATCATCACAACTTAAAAAGAATGGTTTTTTTTCAAAGGTTTTTTTGTAAAACAAAAATGACAAAAATGACGTTTGATTATATTTCTAAGAGTATATTCTTTTTGTCGACATTATTTAATTAATCAAGAACTTTCTGTTAAATTAAAAATAGTTTTTCCATTTTCTACAAAATTTAATTTTAGAGTTGTATCTATCACTTTTGAAGTAAGGGAACTATGTTGAAAAATTTTTCAATCAAAACGTTAAACATTAAGGAACATAACTGTATCAAATAAATGTATATATGCTTATTGTTAAAAAATTATAAATAATGGAAAAAGCATTGGAAAAAATAGAGTATGCCATACAAAAAAAGCAATTTAAAGTAATTAAAAATTAAACAGTTTAAAGGATTAAACAAATCTACTGCGATTTTATCTCATTATACTTATAATTATATAATTGTAATATTTTAAATTGCGATAAAGTATTTTAATATTTTTCAAGCAATATTCTTGGACTTCGACTCTGTTTTTCGCTCGAATTTTCACGAGCACATCTTAAATCTTACTTTCCCTTATCTCTGGCAATGCTCCTGGGTAATAGCATAGACGTGTAGTGCAGACGTTAATTCGAGTTGTTTCGTTGATATCCACCGATACGACTATGCCTGATAACATTTTTGTAAGCAATTAAACCGTCCCGGAATTGTTCGTAATCCTGGTGCTTTAGCGTCCAAAATTCCGACAAACAATAAACGCAAAAAATTCCATTGCAGAGTCATAGTCCTGAATACTGAATGTCCCAGAATTGGATAACCGATAGCACTATTTCCCGCGGAAAACTTTAAGTTTTCTGCAATGCAACGGTGGCAAGAGTGAAATATAGAAGTAATTTATCGGGATCAAGATGCTTTTCTTGAGTGCTTTTAAGTAAGTAAGTCTTGCAATCCGCTTTTAAAGTGTATATTACATTCGAATATTATGCGCGCTTCTGTATTGTGCCGCCTCGAAAAGTTAACGGTTGTAGCGGAAGTAATTAGAGAACACTTTTCCTCGTGGACTTAAACCCGGACATTCCCTCATGAATTGTAAATGTGGCCAAGTTTTTTAATCTTAGTATCGCATCTGGAATCTCAGATTGTCTATTTATAATTCGCTCTCCTCGCTGTAAATACGGCGAACGGAAGGGTGTTTCGATTATCTCAAAAATGGAACATTGAGGGATTTACTCGGATTTATTCGGATTTACTAGAAATTTTCATCTCTTTTTTTTGTAAATAAATCACGAATAATTTTTATTATGAATTGTTAATTAGAATAATTCTTTTTGCATTTTTTAAATAAATTAATAGAGATAAAAATGCGATATCGATATAATTTTAAAAATGATGTCAAATATTCATTGAATAAAATATCAGTTTCTTTCATATTTTCCATCGTTTCCATTATAGTGATAGTGAAATAGTGATATATCTTGGCATATTTTTCGAAAAGAAATATGCATTTTCCGAGGAAATGTTAACTTTATCCTTTCGTGTGATGGTCGTTCGGACAAAAGATCGTACTTTTCTTTCCGACCCGTCAAAGCGTCCTCTCGGTTTTGTTATACATGCAAATAATCTTTCGGTGTTCCTGAAACGGCAGCCTCACTGGGAGAACGAAATTTGAGAATGTGAAAAATAATAATAACTGTAAAAAGGCGCTCAAGGCATGGCGTAGAAATTTCAGAAATAGTACCATCTTATTTGAATTATTAGCACCGATTTTGAAGAGATGTTTTGCGCAAACGGTTTTCGCGTATTATACGCCTCCGTCATTGTTGTAAATATATCACATATTTTGCTTGAGAATCGAAGAAAAATCGCTATTTGTAGAGAGAGGCGAATACGTTTCAGTTCAGTGATACGAATCGTCTACATATTTGTGAAAATTCATTGTAAGATCACCTGTCTGGAAAATTGATTTATTTATGTGGGTTTCAATGCAAGAACGGATGATTTGCATTAAATCAATCACAGAAAAGTATAAACTCAATAAACAAAAAAAATCTGCGTGTTAATAGCACGCGTTTCGTTTTGTGTAAACATAAAATATTAATTCAATGAAAAAACTGTATGATTGATATATTTTTAACAAAATTTTATAAGGGAAATAAAATATTATTTTTACGGACGATATTTTAGTATAACTTGTTACATTGTAATTAAATGAAGAGTTTATTAGATGAAGTATCTGTTTTTATCTATTACGTATTGAATGTAAATATTAAAAAACCTGGCAGTAATTGTTGTAAACCTGTTTTTAGTTTTACGTAAACGATTATAGAAGCTGTTTGTATATCTCAATAAAAAAATCGGGGTATTATTAATATATATTACATTATCGATTGTTTTCCAGTTTACTAGTATTTGAGAACATTATGGATATGAATTTAATCGCGTAATTTAAAACAAGGGTAAGTAGAAACTAGGCAAATTAATTAAATAAGCATGTTAAATAGCTTATTAAGTATTTCTAAAAAATAAAAATTTTTTATTAATGTAACACTTTTATTGCGGCTTTTCGATAGCATGTTTAAAGATTTGTAAAGAATAGTTATTAAAAAAGAAAGAAAATATGTAAAGAAATAAAATAATATCCATTCTACAAGAATTCACAATTTCTCGCCGCTGAGGTGTAAAAATATCCCAAGTGACTATTCCCGGTTAAATAAATGCAGTGAAATTAATAAAAAAATTAATATGGAAAAATTAAAGATGCTCAACTTGATGAATCGCGAAAGCTCGATTTAAACACGTGCGCTGTGCGACTTCGTGAGTACGCACGGTGCTTCATTGGCACGCTATTCAGCGCATTCACGCCTGCACGCATGTGCGTGATACGAAACGCGATTACGGGCGGCCGTCGTAGCGGTAACGGTAGAGTTCACTAAGTCGTCGTCGTCGTCGTCGTCGTCGTCGTCGTCGTCGTCACGACGACATTCTGATCTGCATCTAAATTGGAAAAAAAGCGTTAAGCTTCACGCGTCGCGAACGCGCTGCAACTGCGGCCGCGAATTTTTACATGCATAGCGGATGTGTGATAATTCTGTTACACATCATCAGGTGAAAGAATAGCGAGTTTTCTCCCTCGAGTTTCCTATTTCTCATGTAGATTCATTGTTCTGATATTATAAATGATAAAAATAAAAAAAATAATTTCCTCTTTGTTACAATGATGAATAATTATTTAGAAAATAGATAGAAATCTCATTGTTTTATACTACACTGATACGTTTTTGATTAAGGCGAATAATGTTTTGTAAATTGAGAATTAATGGAATATAACTTGTTAATGGAGAAGGTTGTTTGACCGAATGATGTGCACATATACGTTATCTAAACGTATATGCCATTGGTGGAATTTATAACTATGCAATTTGGATAGAATGTTATATAATTTAAATGCAAATAAAATTTCTTTTCCCATATGCATTACGAAAAATACTATAATTTAATATAACCGTCGAATTGTCTAGAGAAATATGTGCACAAAAGTATGAAGTCAAACAGAATTTCCATTTACCGATATCGCAATATCTGAGTATATTTTATGATAGAATACTCGTACATGCGTGTATACCTTTTTTATAAACATTATACATATTTCAAATCACAGCTAGTAATAAAATAAAAATAATTTTGCAGTTCTCTCTCTCTCTCTCTCTCTCTCTCTCGTTTGTTTCATTATTTCTTTTATTTTTGATCGATTGCTATTTCTTTTGTGTGTGTGATTGACGATATATTTTAACATTCATACTAGCACAAGCTCGTTATGTATAATAGAAGAGAAAGATTTTTCCGTTTAATATTTTTCGACAACTTTACCGTTGCTTCGAAAACAGCAATGCTTGTTACTTTGGTAACAATGTGGCTGTTGTTACTCACATATGTGGTATTGCTCGTGGCAACACACACGCTGTTTCGAATAGCTTTTAGTCGATTTTATTGCTCCATAAAGCATTCAGTGATGTTGACGCACAGGCATCGAAGTTGTAGGTGCACTATATGCCGCGTGACGATAAATTGTTTTACATCTTTCATTGAGATCTTGCCAATCTTTCAAAGGCGCAATGTAACCTACTGTATCATGCAAAATTATGGCCGATAAAATATTATTGTGATATGAAAGTATAGTAATATCCGTATATACCTGTTATGTTTTTTATGAATATGATACGGGAACTAATCGTAAAATACAATTTTGCCGAAAATATACCAATTTTCCAGGGTGTACAATTTTTTCCTTTTATCAATGAAAAACTTTCTACAGACGAAATACGAAATTGCCGTATTTGTAAATATATCGAAAAAGTATTAAACTAAATGGAAAGGATGATTTTGCTGAAATTTAACGAAAAATTTAGCTAGATACAGATCTAAAAATAATTTTGTTAGATTATAAAAAATGTATGTAGAACGCTTAAATGTTGACAGCCAAAAATTTTAATATTTTAGCAACCAGTTTAGGAATTCTACATAATTATTTTGATAGAGTTCAACAAAATTATTTTTAGATCTGTATCTAACTAAATTTTTAGATATTTCAGTAAAACGTTCTTTTCATGTATAAAGTCGATGTTGCACAAATCCCCTCGCGTCACAAATTTTACATCCTACAAACTTTAATTATAAAATCGAGACTCGCAAGCGTCACATATTTCTTCATACGTGTACTGCACGAGTTTCTATAAACAGAAGATTCATGTGCTTACCTGGATGATTCTCGACTTGTTGAGGATCGTGTTTCCCGATGGCTGATAGCGTTCCATGTCCCTCAGGATACTACGTACACCGACGTCGTCCGCGTCGACCAAACGAAAGGCAGTGATATTGACAAAATTGTACTTGAAGTCCTCGAGATCGAAGGTTTCGATATCCTGCGGAAAAGCAAGCGAGCGAATCGAGTCGCAGACCAAGTGGATCTTGAATGTGCGTTTCAATATCCCTAGGGTACTTACGAAAGTCGTGAAGAGGTAGTGGTACTTGTAATCATTCATCTGCAGCTGCAGGATCTGCAATGTATGCGAAACTATACGGTTAGTCGAGATCACTTTTGTGATAGAAAATATTATATGTAAAATACAAATCTATCTTAAAATCGGAACATGCCCAAATTTACGGTTATTTTTACCTCTAAAACATTTTTTTTACGTATGAATCTTTGGAACAATTTAGAACCAATTTTTTTTCAACAAAAATTTATCTAAACATCCTTTCCCATAATTTTTTAATATCCAAATATTTTTATAATTAACTAGCAGATTTTCTTTCAAATCAATGATAATAGCAGAATATTTGAAAAATAATTTATATACGTATATAACACGTATAAAAAATTTAGGTGTGGATTTAATACCATGAATGTTAAATATAATTTTCACCGTGTTTGTGTTAATACATATAAACACTGACACAATGTAGATTTAATGCTATTGGTTTTAAATCATAATATTAAATTCATACTCATAATGTTAAATTAAATCCACGTTGGTTTATATCAATATTATATCAATATTAATACGATAAAAATTCTATGAACATTGCAAAATATAAAATCCACATTCGTATTTTTTTTAGAAGGTATGTGTTAATGTAAAATGTGCGCTGAATAATTTACCATTTGTAGAAAATGATGCATGTGCTCGGGTTTTGTGTCCACGATGATATTTCGAAATTCTTTGCTCTTCATTTCGGAAAGGACCTGCCTATACGAGTTGGGGTCTGCCTGCCGGAGATTGACTTCGATACCACGGATTTTCGGTGACTTCACCAGCTCCCGAAGCTTCATTAATCCTAAAAGCCAAAGTAGATACGTATTTATCTCAATTACACTTGTACTCCGATAGCACAAGATATAAAAAGTTAATTTATGAAGATTGTCGATGTCAACACGAGCGAATCATTTGTTTCACGATCTCCGCAGGAATTATCAGGTCGGTCGCTTAATGACACGGAAACCCGTGAATCGCGCTATCCGACGAAATCAATACTCTCCAGCGCCTAAGTAATCAAGGTATCTGACTTGCAGGTCTTCCGGAGAGACACAGGCTCTGTTCTCTTGCAAGTTACCCGCTGGAACTTTAGCTCTTGAGATTCCGACGCGTGTTGGAGACGGGCGGCAACGTTTCGGCCTGTCAGTTTCTATTGGGTACGGAGTGCCAAAGTCGGGATAATTTCGATAAACTTCACTCATGCAAACGATCTGCTGATTGATGCGGTCGAGTTTACTTGAGTGTATTGACGTCTAAGCCGATCGTATTGAATCATATCATGTTAACGTATATATTAGATAACACAAGTTTATATTTATTCGCTTAAATGCATCTAATGACAAAAAATAAAATCACACATAATCTATCAGTTTTACTTGCATCGTTAATTCAATCAATCAACATCAATCATTAATTTAATTTGAAGTAGAAAATTTTATATATAACTGTATAGATATATGAGTTACACTTTTATTTTGTAAAAAAAAAAACGGTAACGTGTTACTGAAATAAAATAGAAATTCCGATACCATCATAGACCGTTCTTTCAGAAAAGAGAAAGGAAGAAAAAAAAGGAAAATGTATTTTGTTATGTATTTTTGTATTTTTGTACGTTCAAGTGGTAGCATAATTAATCTAGAAGCGAGTAAGAAACCGAGTTTAATTGAAGCCATGTCGAGTAACTCGAGTAAGACCAATGTTCTCATGTAAGCAGATTTTGTATCCTGGGGGACAACATCGGATGACTATCTTGGGAAACACTATGAATAACTGGCTGGAAGTTAAGCGCGCATGTTTCACTGGAGCACCAATACTGTGATCACCGAATGTAGTATCTTTGCGGTCGTCACATATCAAGTCGTGTATAAAGAAAACAGTGATAAGAAAATTATTTTTGCATAATAGTATAATACAAATTCAACATTTATAAAGATCTATTTTATAAATATAATATTATATAACTTATCGATTATATAACTTATATTTATTGTGATATTATCAAGATATCTCATTGACATACTTTTCATTACAATTTGTTTCAATTTAATCGTAAACAATTGTTCTACAAAATTTTCAAGCGTGTAATTTTTTTAAAATTTTGCATAATTATTTTTTAAAAAAGAATAATTATAATTATTAATAAATTAGTACTTTGCGCAAAGTGTGATAGCGAAAAGTTTAAAGAGGTAATGAAATTGGTGAGCGTCACAGTTTGAATTGAAAATAATAAGTTGAATATTTCTTGCGGTTTGTGGTGTGACTCGTTGCAGTTTAAATTATGAACACTCTGTGTATACCAAGAACGGACTTTCATGGGAGTCGTTTGAAATGGCGGTTTTAATTAAAATAGCATTTCGAGCGTTTTGCTGCTCTTCGTAATTTCGCGAGCGACATGCGAGATAGAGATCGGAAGAGAAAGAAAGAGAGAGAAAACGATACCTTTTATTAAAATTGACATGACGAGAAGCCATAAAGAGGATGCGTTATCGCGAGTTGCGTTTCAAGGCATCGTAACAGAGTACGAACATCCATCAAAGTTGAAGGGTGGTACGTCGTTTACGATTCTACAATGTGAGAGAATTGTACCATTTACAGATTACTAACTAGGGAATTGGCATTGCCTGACTTAACGTACGTTGTGTTTAAGGGATACCGAGGAAGAATGCGTTTCTAGAGAGCGAGACGTGACGTGCGGAAATGAGTGCAATGCGACGCAATTTCTCACTACGATCCGCGTCGCGGTTTTGAACTTAACGGCATAGTATTATCCTGGCTTTCAACGACGAGCATTGAGAAATATTTCTGCAATATTTTGCATGTTTACGTATAATAAAAAAATTTATATAATAAACGTGTTCCATAATCTTATATTTTTGTATTTGAAAAGAATGATGATATAGGAAACGAAATTTACTTTATATTTTCTGTTTGATTAGACTTTAAAGTGTTCGTATTTCTTATACTTTCTAGAAGGACTTGGTAATACTTGTTTGACCCTCAACTGATCACGAATTCATAGAGGGAAGGTGATGATTATGGCCAGTGTAGATGTGGCCCCTTTTAATTTCTTCACTATTAGGTGACGAATTTTAGTAATTACTTATCGAATTATTTGTTTAGTTACCATTATACCATGATGCTAATATGCTAAATATCCAGTACTTTTGTTTCAAACATTTTGAAAGATTTTTAATGTGGGTTACATTTGAATCAATTGATTAAGCATAAATCGAGAAAAAACATCCCGTTTTTTTAAATCCAATCGATAATCCTACAATAATAATAACAAAAATCGTTAATAAAAAAGAGCAAAAATAGAGATAGAAAATCACTAAGAAAAATAAAGAGCTAAGTATCACTGACGTCGTACAAATCATGGAAGAGACCTTACCAAGGTAATTGGTTGCATCACTTGTGTAAGGATTCTGCGAGGCGCGAGATGAGAAAAAAATTACAAGCCGAACTAAACGTGGTGGTACTTGACAATAATTTCTCTAAAGGGCTACAAAAGAAAAGTTTATGTCTATTCCTATATATGGAAGATAGATTATCATATTGGTTTTATATACTCTAATGACGACCACTTACGATTCGTGCTCGAAATGTCGATATGCCTCGACAATGCGAAATATTGCGCTGAGTTGGCGCACGAAAGGAAGCTGTCAACGATTACTTGCCTCTTCCTTTTTCGTTCCTCGCCTCGAGTGGATCGCGCGGTGACAGACGATCGAAATAATTGGATCGCCGGCTGTCTTAAACATGCGCATTTCAAGAGGACGACCGAATGAATATTGAAGGTGCGAGCGAACGTCGGCAGCTGAAAGATTCGATTTGGAAGTACTTTGAGAAATAGCGCTTTAGAATATAAATGCGTTTTTTGTAAAAAAGATACTTGATGACGCTTTTAATAATATTCCAAGAAAGTAAGAGGGACAACTTTACTTGCGGAGTTGCAATTATATTTCGACAAAAAATGAAGAAAATATATCAAGTGCTTTTGTGAAGAAGTTTCTTGTAAAAAGTTATATAGTTGATTCTTCCAAATTTACTACTATTATATACATGACATTTTAAAGGAAGTTATATCTCTTAAAAATCTCAAGATTCTTTTTAGATAAAAATTCCGTAATGAAAAAAGCAAAAAAGAAAAGGCCGATCAATGTGTACTGTAATATACAAAACTAAATAAATTTTTATTAATGCTTTAATTCTATTCAAATTTTCAAATACTACTTTGCTGTAGTAATAATAAAAAATAATAAAGATAAGACGCTAATTTTTTGTAAATATAATAATTTCAAATTCAATTAGATACAGTTAAATTTGCAATTCAATTGAATCCAAACAGATACTTTTAATTTTTATTTTTTCACAAAAATAAAAACAAATAATGAAAATCAAATGATAAAAAAACAGAAAACAAATTCGCATTTGATGTTTTTCTAAAATAATTAAATAGTTTTAATAACTGCAGCTATAGCGTGTTGACAATGTTTGAACAGAAAATATTGAAATACTCACTGTATATTAAAATAAAACCCTTTAAAAATCTATAAAATAAATAATTGAAGAGAAAAAAATAAATATATCTGTTGTTTTTAGTTATAAAGATATTTTAATAAAAATATGCAAATCACGATTTTAAATCTGCGTATGATTTCATTCGCAGGTATATTCTTTTATTGACATGTAATTTGTATATCATTTTTTTTGCTATGCATAACTGTCCTTAATAAAATAAAATGGGATGTAACAATGCATTTTTTTCGCGTATAGTTATATTTTACAACAACGATGTCCTCCCTAATTCATTGACTATCACTGGTCAGCGACGACCTTCTTTCAAAATGATGTTGTACAAGACGGACTTTCATTAACTACGTCAAGAATTGTGAAGAGGCTTGTTTTCAGAAGATTTGCTCGTCCCATCGGGACCGGTCAGTCGTTCGTGCGGAAAGACGACATACCGAGGAACTTCGACGATCGCCGAGTTATACGAAAAGTTCGTGAAGACTTTCGCTGCGTCTGGGAACGAATTCCCACTTTTGCGACCCTCCATCGCATCGCCATGGTTTAGCTATCGTGTAAAACATACGCGCTCGACTGGACACGTTATATGGGACCGGGTTGGTCATAAAATTCTCATTATGACAAGAGGAAATTCTTGCTCATGTATGCAAGAATGCACCACGCGGTAGGATATTCGCGGAGAGATCTCCGCAAAATATGATAGCGACCATGTATAATTTTCACGAATGCACCACTCACGCTCCTTGCGTATTCTCCGGACTTCCTCGTAATTATCGTAGCATTACGCTCAGATTCTGTGAAGAATTTCGCCAGAGTTCGTGTTTAGAAACAAAACCATTTAGAACACGCGACTGCGAAATTAGAGAGGAGTAAGTCTGCTTAACGAAATTTGAAAATACGTGAGAGAAATTATTGATCTCTTAATAATATTCAAGATACGTGAGGGAAATGAACTGGTAATAATAATCACTCTGCTTTAAAATACGTGACTGAAATAATTGACGGTTGATCATATGTTTAAAGTATTCGATGCATAGATTGCTTTTTTAAAATTTGTGATAAAAATAATGATAATCAATATAAATAGAAAAGAATCAAAATATCAGATTCTGGAAGAAACAATAATATATGCATATACTACGCTGTATTTATTACATTATTTTATGCTAATAAATCTGTAGGATAATGATATCATATTGCATCTTATACACAATTTAATAGAAAGATAAATTTTGTAAGGTATATGAGCATCGAAAATTTTTGTTGGGGAGC